GTTGCCCGCAGTTCGAGTCCCGGACCCGATGGCTTAAAACTCATGCCGAGCGCGTGTGCGTGCGTGCGTGCGTGCCCTAGATCCCAAAAGGAGAATGGAGGAGAAGGGATTGCGGCGTGGCCATCCCCCCTGGGGTTTGATTTCTCGCTTTCTGTCTCTACGTCTCTCTCTGTCTGGCGAGCGCACGCGCCCTATAGCGAAAACCTCTCCAGAAAAAATAAATAAAAAATAATTTGCTGTGGTGCATGTTTGCTCACCAGAGAGAGAGAGTGAGAAAGCATCCCCTGGGGGGATGGTCATGCTACAATCCCTTCTCTATTCTCTTCTTGGGATTTTGGGCACACACGCACGTGTGCCCAGCCCCTGCCACAGGGGGTCCCCCTTTCTGTTTGTTGTCTCATTTCTTACTGGCTTGTGGAGTCTTGACAGCATGAATTCTGGCAGAGTGTCCCAGGCCTCCACTCACTCACCAGCCACCCCAGAGCAAAGAGGTTGTTCATGCCTGGGGCAGAGGGGACACAAACCTGAGGAAAAATAAAGTTCAAGGCCCAGAGGGACATAAGGCTATACAGGCACCCTCTTTTCTTAGCAGGCAGCTGGGGCTGGCAGGTGGCATGGTGGATGGGGATGCTGGACTCCCATATGGCTGACCCCGGTTCAAGTCCCGGACCTGGTGGCTTGCTTCTCAATTTCCCTTTCTCTCTCTCTCTTTGTCTGTGTCCAATTAAAAAATAATAATGACAAATGGAATTTAAAAAAAATAAATAGTTCTTTTTTTTTTTAAAAAAAAAAAAAAAGAAGTCAGAGATGGGACCAGCCGGTAGCTTGGTGGTTAAGGCATTGGATCCCACATGGGATCCATAGTTTGAGTCCCAAGCCTGACAGCTTGAAAAACACACTGGGCACATGTGCATGTGTGCCCCAAATCCCGAGAGAAGGGCGAAAGGATTGCAGCATGACCCTCCCCCCATGGGATGCTTTCTCACTATCTCTCTCTCTCTGGTGAGCGAACATACCCCATAGCAAATTATTTTTTAAAGTCGGACTGGAGAGGGGCTGGCAGGTGGCATAGCAGTTAAGATGCTGGACTCCCACATGGTTGAGCATGGTTCGAGACCTGATGACTTGCTTTCTCACTTTCCGTCTTTTTTTCTGTCTCTCTTTGGTCAAACAAAAAAGAAAGAAAGAAAGATGATGCATGGAATTAAATAAAAAATAATTCTTTAAAGACAAACACATACATAAAAACGCCCGTGTTAGAGAGAGGAAAGAAAATGCAGAGCCCAAGGGAACCATGGCAGAGAGGGTGGAGCCAGGAGAAGAAGAGAAACTGCTTGGAGACGGCGGCCTCAGGAAGCTGGCTCAGAGCCGCCGGGGTCCCCGTGTCATCGACAGCTGCTCACTGACCTTTTCTTTTTGCCCCAGACCAAGCTGCTGACCCAGTATGTGCTGAGCCTGGCCAAATACGACCAGAACTATGACATCCGCGACCGAGCGCGCTTCACGCGGCAGCTCATCGTCCCTTCGGAGCAGGGTGGGGCCCTCAGCCGCCATGCCAAGAAGCTCTTCCTGGCACCCAAACCCGCCCCAGTCTTGGAGTCATCCTTCAAAGGTGGGAGCTGGAATGAAGGTGGCCTCCTTGGGGCTGGGGGCAGGGGGCATCGGCCAGGCCTCCAGCCTCAGCCAGGCTTCCGTGGGCAGAACTTCTGGGGGCATGCCAGTCCTGTCCCAGCCCACCCCTTCTGCCCCTCCTGCAGCCGCTGGGCTTGCTCTTACACCCACATCGGCATCATCTCCCCTGCCTGGCGGCTCCCAGCAGGAGGGTTACTGGCTCCTGGCTCCGCCCCTCTCAGGCTCCCTCTTTCCATCTCCTGCCCCCCACCAAGCAGGCACTAGGCTTGGGAATCTATGCCAAGACTTTAAATACCAAGTATTTGAGGAGGCAGGAAGTAAAGCCGCAGATGGGGGAGAGGTGTGTATTTGTAAAAGTCCCAGAAAGCCGGGTAGGCACTTGTGGGTTGAGTCTCTAGAGATGAACCTGAATCCCGGGCTCCAAACCTTCAGCCTTGCCTGTGTTCACGAGTGTGGACCTTAAGGCCTCCTCTCCCATGACAAGGGCTCTGACAGGGGCCTAGGAGGGGAGTCCCCATCACAAAGCTCTGTTATTCCACTATCTTTTCCTTCTCCTTCTCTTCCCTGGACCCCAGTAATAGGGAGGTTCTGAGGGGCGAGGCAGCTCTGAAAATCTCGTAGGAGGAAGGGCAGTGTCCCTGTCTCCCCTGGCATTAGCCTCCCCATGGTCCGAGTGGCCTTTCTGTGCCATAAGTCCTACTTCCGACCCAGCTCCGTCTCAGTGCCATTCTGATGGCTCACCCCGCCCCACCACATCCAGAGTCTGACCAGATATGCTGCCTCCCCCTGGCCCAGCCTGGCCAGCCTCTCACCCACGGCTGCTATCCTTGTCCTGCTGAGGGTCCTTCCCACGCCTGGCCATGCAGGAGCACACAGGCCTGCTTCCCTGGAAGAGAGGCCACACTCACCCTCCTGCCTCTCCACAGGGACCCAAGCCAGGCCATCCACATCTCCGGCCCATGCCCTCCCACTGCTCTGCCCCTCGGGGCCTGGCCCAGAAAGCTTCCTTGTAGTATGTGCCCTGAAGATGCAGTCAGTGTGGAAGAGTATTGGGGTCCCCCACTTCCTCCTACTCTCCAGAGAGTCCTGGCCAAAACTGCCACCTGACCCCACCCAGGCCACAACTCCCAGGGCATGTCCACATAGCCACTTACGGCCTGACCTCTAACCCTATCCCTAGACCGGGACCACTTCCAGCTGGGCTCCCTGTCCCACCTGCTCAATGCCAAGGCCACAGGCTATCAGGAGCTCCCAGACTGGCCAGAGGAAGCCCCAGACCCATCTGTGCGCAACGTGGAGGTCAGCAGGCTGCAGGGCTGAGCTGTTTGGGGGGAGCAGGCAGCAGGGGGCACTGCAGGGCTGGGCTGTGTGGGGGGAGCAGGCAGCAGGGCGCACTGCAGGGCTGGGGTGTGCGTGCATGTGGAGGCCAGGCAGCAAGGAGCCCTACAAGGTTGGAGTTTTTGTGCAGAGGTAGACAGGAAGCAGGGGGCCCTGCAGAGTGTGTGTGTATGTGTGTGTGCGTGTGTGTGTGTATGTGTGTATGTGTGTGTGCGTGTGAGGAACAGCCAGCAGGGGCCCTGCAGAGTGTGCGAGTGCGCGCGCACGCGCGCACACACACACACACACACACACACACACACACACACACGTGGGGAACAGCCAGCAGGGGGCCCTACAGAGTAGGGATGAGTGTGCATGTGGGGGACAGCCAGCAGGGAGCCCTTCAGAGTTAGGGTGTGTGTGAGGGGGAACAGGCAGCAGGGCTTCCTGCAGGGTTGGGTGTGTGTGTGTGCATGTGTGCGGGGGTAGAGGCAGCAGGGAGCCCTCAGGGTTGGGGTGTTTGTATGTGTGGGACAGGCAGTAGGGGGCCCTGCAGGGCTGGGGTGTGTGGTGGGGGTTGGCTACAGAGGGCCTTGCAGGCCTGGGCAGCCCTCCTGACAGCCCCCCACACACAGGAAGAAGATCTTTCCCTTATCGAGACCCACGTGGGGCTGCTGGGCGAATACACTGAGGTCCCCCCTGCGTGCTGTGTGTTCTGTCCCCTGTCCTGTGTGCTGTTTCCCCTTGGCTTGGCAGTGTCCCCTCCTGAGCAGCAGCCCCTGCCCGCTGCACCGTCCCCATTCCTCTTCCCCTACTGCTCCCTTTTGGGGACAGGACCAGGCAGGGCGTCAGGAAGAGATGGGGTGAAGAGTAGGAAGGGTCTGTGCTCTCCTTCTCCCTCGCCGGTGATAACATGACCCGCCCCTCTCAGGTCCCGGAATGGACCAAGTGCTCCAATCGGGAGAAGAGGAAGGAGAAGGAAAAACCTTTCTACTCGGACTCTGAGGGGGAGTCGGGCCCCACGGAGTCCGCAGACAGCGGTGAGATGGGAAGACTCCCGTGTGCGTCTGTCCGAGGAGGGGAAGTGTGGATGTGCTGTGTGTCCAGGGGTGTGTGCACCAGCGTGTGGGTATCTGTGTGCGTGCCTGCACCCCTGAGGGGACGCTCATCCCAGGCGCGGGTGGCCGGAGCAGGTCTGTCCATCTGCGTCCAGTCGGCACGAGTTGGCGAGTGGGGCCAGGAGCAGGTCAGCCCCAGGCCTGGAGCTGGGAGCCCAGGGCACCTGCTCCGGTCCTTCCTGGGGGCCCTGATGCAGTTCTCCTGCAGACCCTGAGTCCGAGAGCGAGTCGGACAGTAAGAGCAGCAGCGAGAGCGGCTCTGGGGAGTCCAGCAGTGAGTCTGAGAATGACGATCAGGACGAGGATGAGAAGGGGAGAGGCAGCGAGAGGTAAGAGGGGAGTCCGCTGCTGGCTGGAGGGGTTCAGCGGTCCCCCTGGAGAGGACAGCGAACGCTCAGCCTTAGGCGATCTTCTGCGAGCCTGAGCGTCTCACGAGCTGGGGTGGCGGGGGCTGGAGACCCGCCGGCTAGTGCCCGTGAAGGCTGCTCTGGGAGGGCGCCGGGGCCCCCTGAGGGTCGGGGGC